AGTGCCTCCCTCCGCTCACCCAGAAGTAGATTCCATGAGGCTGTGCTTGGTCCACGTCGGCGTAGCTCTCTGCAGTGGCTGGGGGCGTCACTTCTCACCCGGCGGTTGTATTGAGGCAGGAAGGCAGAACGGGGGTCATCAGGACTGCTTTGTAAACAGGGATGTCCTGGGCGTTTATCGGACATCACTCTGGGCGCCTTCCAGGCAGTGTCTCATTCATCCTCTCTCCGTGGCGGTGCGACGGAGCTGACAGGCGCCCGCATTGCTCATTGGACAGACAGGAAAGCTGAAACTTGGAGCGTAAGGCCTGTGAGATTGGGGAGAAATAAAAACGTAACTCGGTTTTTCTGACTCTGAACCTGTCCATTCAAAGCAGATAGCTAGACAGGGGGTGGGGCAGCATGCTACTGGTGTCATAATTACAAGACTCTTCCTAAAAGAAATCTTGGACAGCCACTTTCTGGCTGGGAGTAGTTTGGATTAACTGGGCCAGGCACAAAGAGTAGAAAAGTGCTTGTTAAATCTAGGGATTGGGGAAGAGCCTGCTCATCAGGATTTGAAGTCCTTCCCCATACACCTCCGGACTCCGCTTGTCCCGAGTGAGGCACCGGAAAGCATGATGGTTGCCTGTGTTGGGGGCGAATTGGCCGATGTCTGCAGAGGGTCAGCAGTAACTGTCCTCGTTTTAGATTAGGATTGTACTGTAATTCTAGGACTAACTTCCTATGTTCTATGTTCTGATTTTCCTAGTGAGTATTATTATTTCTATTCTTTATGGCCCTCTCCATAATCCCATTAATTTTTATTTTCTGTATCTGGATATTCTAACTAACCTTACAATTAAACTGAGTTGGGAAAAAGTTCAAAAGGTCAAAGGATCAACGTACATAGTAATAATAGTTGAGCAGTTCCCAGGTACTTTCACATTCACTGTCTTAGTTGATCCTTTCAGTGACCCTGTGCATTAGGCAGGAGGGCTACTATTAGACAGGAAACTGACACTGGACTATGTCAAGTGATGGCACATTGTTTTTCTCCAAGAGCAGTGTCTTTACTTTTGCAATAAATATAGTATGTTGAACGTTACGCATTATGTTGAACAGGATTAATGCTAAACCGAATATATGTGTGTGTGTGTGTATAAATATATTACCCCTTCACCTTCTTTATCCAGTCACCCCCACTCTCCCTCCCCTCAGGCACCCATGGAGCAGTCTGTTCCATGTATCCATGCTTTTGCCTGAATCAAAAATGGGCAAGATAAGCATATAGCTCCAAGTTGTATCTGAGCATGGCTCCAATATTCCAGTGGCCTGTGTATTTCCCTAGCTCTTTACAAAGCATTCCATTTCCTTACTTTCATTTTATGTGACAAGAAAGGCTTTTTGAGGCCTTGATTAGATTGGAGACTCTTTGACAGAGTGAAATGCATGGCTAGAGGACCAACTGACCCTGAAGTTGAAAGGATTCAATCTGTGAGATCAACTTCAATTCAATCTGTAGATTAACTACTGATGAGATCAAGAGTGGGGGTGAATTCAGCCAATACCAATTAGATTTTCATGTTTGGAGATACAATAGCACTTCTGAGCAACCTTCCAAAAAAGTGTGCCTTTGGTCTAAGAACAAGTCTTGCACAGTGCCTAGTTCCTCTTACTGTTTTAAGAACTGGTTTGTTAGTTGGGTAGGTAGATAACATTACATAGACATTTTCTTCCCTTTGGTGATTAATTTTTCTCTCCCTCCCTTCCTCCCCATGACTTTTTTTTCCAGCTTTATTATGGTATAATTGACAAGTAAACATATACCTTCCACTTTTATTAGCATCCCAATCTACCTATCTATGAGACCACCCTATACCCGTCCTTTTGGGTTAACTATCATTTCTATACACTGTCATTCCTGATTTTAAGGCTTTGTCATTTACTATAGGGACAGTGCTGTGTTGTATAGCCAAACTTAAAGTGTAGAGTCATTACATGTATTACTACTAATGCTATTTCAAAGGTTTTTAAATTTATGTTTGGAAGTAAGTTAATCTCATCATGCTCCCCCCCTCCCCCCCCGCAAGCCTGGTCACCCCACACAGCCTGCTGTTCAGTCGTTTAATCGTCCCTCACTAACCCCCTTGCCAGCCTGCTCACTCCACACAGCCTGCTTGTTCAGTCGTTTGGTCATCCCTCAATAACCCCCTTGTCTGCCTGGTCATAGGCTGCGATCTTATGAGGGTGTGAGGGTTAATTTGCATATTACCTCTTTATTATATAGGATAGCATGTTGTCTAGCAATTTTGTATGTCCATCTCATTTTTTAAATTTTGTATGTCAATCTTACTTTTTTTAATCTTTTTTGTATAACCTCTGTGATTTGAGGATGATAGTAATTGAGATGGTAATTGAGTAAATGAATTTGTAAAACAAATTCTGAGAAATTGCTTTTAGTTAATGGATCATAAAAAAGCTAATAAGGAATGCTATTATAGGCTGATAACTTAATTTCTGGTCTCTAAAGTTCTGCTGTCTAATATGGTACTCACTAGCCACATAGAGATTTTTATTTTTTTTAGAGAGAGGAAGGGTGAGAGAGAACTAGAAACATCGAGCAGCTGCCTCCTGCACACCCCCTACTGGGGATCAAGCCTGCAACCTAGGCATGGACCCTGACTGGGAATTGAACCAGTGACCTCTTAGTCCATGGGACGACACTCATTTCACTGAGACACAGTAGCCGAGCATAGCCACATATAGCTATTTAATTTGTTGAGTAATTAAAGATTTAGTTAGTCACACTAGCCACATTTCAAGTGCAATAGCCTTATGTGGATAGTGGCTACCATATTGGACAGCATAGAATAGAGCATTTCCATTATGATAAAGGTTTATTGACAACATTTCTGTAAAAAGTTTGTTTGATTTGGTTGTGGTTATTTATTAGTACCTGTGAGAGGAGGAAATATGTTTATTTTTTTAATATATTTTTATTGATTTCAGAGAGGAAGGGAGAGGGAGAGAGAGATAGAAACATCGATGATGAGAGAGAATCATTGATTGGATGCCTCCCGCACTCCCCACACTGGGGATCAAACCCGCAACCCAGGCATGTGCCCTTGACTGGAATCAAACCTGGGACCCTTCAGTCCGCAGGCTGACGCTCTATCCACTGAGCCAAACCAGCTAGGGCTGTTTTTATTTTTTTAATATATATTTTCATTTATTTCAGAGAGAGGAAGGGGAGGGAGAGAGAGAAACATCAGTGATGAGAGGGAATCATTGATTAGCTGCCTCCTGCACGCCCCACACTGGGGATCGAGACCACAACCCAGGCATGTGCACTGATCGGGAATCGAACCCTAACCTCCTGGTTCATAAGTTGATGCTCAACCACTGAACCATGCCGGCCTGGCGAGGAGGAAATATGTTATCAAAGTATATGTGGATATAAACACACTTGATATTAAACATGAACTAAAAAGAATAGAATTGACCTGAAAGAATTCCATGCAGGGATGTAGTTTAGTTTAGCTTTTATCTATTTAAAAAAGGAAAATATTGAATTTTATGAGCTACTTTACAGCATTGTAGAACGTTTTAACTTTTTTAAGAGCATCATTTTAAAGTATCAAGGTCTTACAGATTTTCCTTTTCCATAGTTAATTAGTCTTAGCTGTATTAACTCTAATTTAGGTGGCTGTTTTTGGCATTTTGGCACTGGTACTACTTTATTACATCAAACGAAATAATTTTGGATCCTCTGAAATGAAAGAAAACATAATGAAGTTGCTGCCACAGGTAAAGTTCCCCAATTTTGAACCACAGAAGAGTTTCCCAGTTTTGAACTACCCAAGATATTATGATTAAGATCTTCAGTTGTATTAAACAGTCCAACAGAAACACCATAAAAAGATAAAAGGTTTTTAGCCCTCTGCAATGATAACTTAAGGATTAATTCTTAGGTTCATAGGTAATTAAGATTGGTTTTGAGAAATTGCTCAAACCCACTAA